ACACACGAGGTAAATATACTTACATGATGGTTCGTATTAAACGAGATGCGTATTGATTTAAATTGCTATAAAAGAAAGGCACACCAAAAATGTAGCATTATCTTTTACATGATATATTATATGCAGTTGTTCCTTTAGGAGACTAAGTAGGATGCTGCTAGATTCTAGGGAAGCATAAACTTCTTTGTGATAACGCATGATGTATAGCTACTTGCATCTGCATGCATACATTAGTTTTATTATGCGTTTTCATTTCTCAATTTGTATATTTACATATGTATGTACATATCTACGTGCTTACTTACGTTTTATGCCAGCTTCAATTAAAAACAATTCAGTTAAAGTATATGTAATTATGTTATAGTTTTTTTAAAATTTTTTTTCGATACACTGGGCTTTTTCTAATTTTAATTTATTGTTCAAAAATCGTATCCTGAAGTACGAAGTGACTTAATGTAATCCGATATTGATTAACTACATAATACAAAAGGATTAATAAAATGCTAAATTAATATTTAAATTCGTCTATGTATTTCGTTTCAATTAAAAAGGTATAAGGTATTTTACTATTTCAATTTCAGTATTTCGATGATATGTTTGAAACCAATTGGAGAACTAAATTGGAGTTCAAGTTGAGAAGTAGCATTTTCTTCATACAAAGAAAAATGCTCTTTTTGTTGAGAACGCTATGATCCTCCACTTGAGGTACTGTTGAGAAACAACGTTGGAGATTTAAAAAATATCTTAGTTCTCAACTTAACCTCAAGTTGAGCTCAAACCTAAATGTACTAATGGCCATGTACGATATGGCGTATGATTCACATTTTCATTTGCCCATTCACAACTTGTTCATGCACCTCCGTTTTTTAGTACTAGTACTAAAGTCCAGCGCAAGCGTATTTGCCGCATTTCGTTCAATAAGTACTCTTTGCATTGTTCTCTACTCCCAACACATTCCCTGCAAGAACAGTGACTATCATTTGACAAATCATTTGAGTGGCAAGACTGATAGAGATTTCAAGTTTCTATCAAATTCTAAAGGGCAGTTTGAAAAATCTGATGTAAACATTTGTGTACATGTGATCTTCCGTCTTCCTCCAACTTATGACCTTATTTAATGGTCTCTTTTTAACCAACGCAATATTTGCAAATGTGTTAGTAAGATAAATGAGAATGTGTTAGTTTCCATCACACAATTCTTGTAGGGTTGTTACTCTTTTTCCTCATCCATACACTACTTGGCGTTGAGAGAGTAAATATACTTGTATATATACGTATAAGTATACTTGACGTATTTGCTATTACTCCACCAAAGTAGGTACTCTACTTTCTCTCAACGCGTACGAGAGATATTTGCTGCTTGCAAAAGGGAGTAGCAAATGTACTCTGTATGCATGTAGTACTGTAAGTACTTGCGTATTTAATTTCAATTCTGGTTGCTAGCCTACTAGTTGATATCGTTTGCGGCGCTGGTCAGCGAAATTGAAAGAGTAAAAATATAATATGGTATGGAAATTGACGATGTAAGGATTTGTTTGCGGCCTTATTTATAAAAAATAACATAGTTTTAAACAGTTGTGTAATGTGACATTTTCATAAAACTTTTGTATGTAAACAGCTTTTTAAATCTATGTATGCATCAGAGAACTGCATGGATACACTCAAATTACATTTTAAGTCACTCGCTTTCTTTTCACATCTGCACATACTCGCACTCATTTATTTCCAAACATAACGTGTGATAGCATTGAAAAAACATTGTCGGTTGAGTGAGTAATTCACACTATCAAGTGCTCGATTCAAATAACAAGTGCTTGATTTGAAAAACAGGTGCATGGCATAACTGCTGTAATGAAAGCATCAAAGAAAAAACATTTGTAAAGGCAATTTTTGTTAATTTTATTGGTTTCCTAACTGCATATTATAATGCAAAAATATCAACTGATTAAGGGCATCATCATTTGACAAAAGGTGGCATCTTTTGTAAGAAATAACATTTCCAGCAGAAGAAAAAACTCTTTCTGACGATGCGCTAGTTGAAGTAGTGGCTGTTACTCTACGACTGAGTTTATGCAGCAGCGGCATTTCGCATTTGTGTACCTCCCACCAATTAATTATATCGAAGTCCGTATGAAAAAATACCTCAATATTTTCATATCGCCGCAGCTCTGCAGTAGCTTTATCAGTTCTGCTCACAAAGGTAGGTTGTTTAAGAAGACCTGAAAACAGCTCAAAGTTGTCTGAAGGTAACAAAGGTGTAACCGCAATTTGTGGTTCTGTTGTACTGTCAGAATTCTCAGTTATCGTTCTCATAATTTGTAAACATTTCTCTTTTGTGTACCTTTGCTGCAGAGGTAAAGTTCTTGAGCTCTTTTGCTGGCGGGTATAAAAAAAGCACAATTTTGAGCAAATCTGTTAGTTTTCAACAGCAACTGTTTTTAAATAATAAAGCAACTTATTTTTCAAGTCCCTTATAAAGCCGATGTCTTCTGAGGTAACATTGCATTTATTTTGTAGACTAGTTATATAAATGTACGTCAGGTGCATAAATAATTTTGTATAAAACTATTTGCAGTCATTAACCAACAAATAAGTTGTCAAAAACAACAACTTAAGCAAAGCTGCTATCTATATATATAAAATTAAGTGGCAAAACTTCCTGTTCGCATACTCCTCCTAGACGGCTTGCCCGATATCAAAGAAATTTTCAGGGGTGATTGGGGTCTGTGTGGAGGGTGCACATAAGAAATTTCATGTGTGTATCTTTGCACGTTTTGCAAAAACAAAAAAAAAAAAATTAATTCTGTTTGGCTTTACGTGTTTTTTTCGGATTTCTATCATTCCTAGACGGCTTGCCCGATTTCAATGAAATTTTCAGGGGTGATTGGGGTCTGTGTGGAGGGTGCACATAA